CCAAGATGAAAGATCAGTTACACAGAGCATAAGGTGCGGCTTTCTGCCAGCAATGAGCTTCTTGTTTCGCGATGAATGCTGTCATGACTGCAAAGTCAAACAGTTAGTGATCGCCATGTTCACAAAGAAAGCTTTCAGCTAATGCACCATTAGGTTGTTTACAGCGCATAAAGCTGTAATTGACCTAATGGGGTTTTGGTGTCTGCATCAATGCTACTGGCCCCTTGCAATTCTGAACCACAAAAGAAGCATCACAAGGAGGAGATGAGTCAAGTCCAGGGTCACCAAATTTGGGACAAATGTAGACACTGCATAATCGCTGCAGCTTAATAAATAACAAACAAGTTAAATTAGTATTTAGTATTAAGGAGACTAGTGTAACCTTAGTATTTTAAATCTGCAAACTCTCTATCTTACAGCAATCATGAATCAATACATGAATCTCATGTCTGTAATATTAAAAGTGTTTTTGATAGAAAGATCCTGGACTGTAGATAGATAGATAGATAGATAGATAATCCTTTATTAATCCTTTGCAGGAATTACAGTGTCACGGCAGCTTCAAGACAGACCCATACCAAACATTCACTCAAAACCCATAAGTTAAATTAAAATACCACAATCTAAAAAAAGGAGTATTTTTGTGCATTATAGAGTCGTATAACAGCTGGTATGAATGACTTCCTATACCGCTCCGTCTTGCACATTGGTGTCATCAGTCTTTGACTGAAGGTGCTACTGTTTATCACCTTCAGTGGTGGATTGAGTGTGCAGGGTGATCAATATTGATCTTAGTTTATTCAATGTTCTGGCCTCTGCCACTTGCTGAACGTCTCTAGTTCAGCCCCAACCACCGAGCCATGGGTTTGATACCAGACATGCAGATGATAGGCAGCTCAATATCTGTCAGAAGCTTAGGCCGTTATTATACATTATATTTAATGTTTTCTGCAACACTGAAGAAGACATTTTTGAAAAAAAGTAAGAGTCAAATGTTTGATATGTGAGAGATTTGCATTCCAACAAATACAGGCAAAGGAAAAAGTGCTCTATTTTCCTTAAGAAAGAAAAAAGTAGTGAAGCTTAAAACAACAGTAAAAGTAAAGAGAGCGAGCTGACATTTCTGTTAATTATTACTTACATCATCCAATTATCTAGTACATATATCGTCAGAAGATCAGAATTGTTTGTTGCACTCCCACCTCTACAAGGCGTCGTATAACAAGCAGACTGAGCTTGACGCCTGCTGTGTTGGTCAATTTATACAATTTATAAACAGGAACTCTGTAAAATGATGCGGAAGAAATGCCAACACACACTTTAAAATTACACAAATCATCAATTACACAAGGCATCTGGATCACATTGAACATGGCTTCAAAGCATTGACCGGGTTGTTCAAAAAGTTTTAAACTTTGCTGTAGCGCATCAATTTTTTTTTTTATCCAGGCTGTGATTAATTGGTTCACGAAAAGTAAGGACCCGAAAAAGGCACCCGATATAGCTAAATAACCAGTCAAACCCACACATTGCTTTTCCCACCCCTAATGTCTTCTCTCTTACTGCTCCAGCTGCAAAACCTTGACTAACATTTGAACTGCTATTGAGGATCTAAGGAGGAGGATGTGGGCTGGAGCAATCAACGTGGGCTTTCTCGCTCTGTGGCCCACTTGAGCAGCCCAAGAGTGAGAGAGCCAACATTGAGAGCGCTCCCATAGCAAGTCCGACTATAGTTTGTTTTCTTAATGCTATCACAATGTTCCTACCTCAGTTAGTTGACCTTCTCTTCTCAGAAGTTCACTCATTCACCACTTTGTGTCATTGACACATCAGGATGATGGGTCTCATCTCCGGTCTCAGTCTCCTGGTCTCCAGATGGCTACTTCCATGTTCCATATTGTCTTATGGCAGCAAAGTCAGTATAGTACCAAAAAATCTTTTCTAGGCAAATATCTTTCTTTTTGCTGTGTTGCTTCATGGCAGTTGGCAAACTAAAGTCCTGTATTGTTACTACATGGTATGAAATGAAGATTTCTTGACCAAAAAAAATGCAAAGAACTTCTTTCCCCCTAACATCTCCCATCCTGCTTCGTATCTGTTGCCCACTAAACCCTTCCTTTTAAAATAGGGTACTCAAGCATTTAGTATTCACTTTAATAAAGTTGTGGGACTCACAAGAGAAAACGAAGAATGGTCAAATCGAAGCAGCAGAGGTGAGATTTTCTGATTTATGGTCGCCATTATGGGTCAAGCTCCAAAAGTCCTACCCATAATGCAATTTCTAGTGTCTTTCATGAATCCTGCCTGCTGCCTTCTAAATCCCCACTTCTTTCACACCCCACACCTTCAGCTCAATATACCTGATGATATTATGAGTGTTATTTCTTCAAACTTTAGGTCACGCCCTTCAGAGCCACAGAAGACACTATTTAACTTTTTTCACAAGCTGTTAGTACTGCTCGTGGCAATAACACTGAGGTTGATGTCTAAAATTGCTGGAATGCCCCATTAAAATCTATTTTTGTCTCTCTTGCTTTCACAACCAATATCTTAAATCTCTAATAAGTTTCTACCTCCGTAATACCATTAATAGCACAGCTATGAACTGGAGAAAGCTTTATATCTCGAGTCAACTGTTATAATAAAATTGCAATTAAACAACAAGTACATGTTACAGAAGTCAAGGGGTTACACTCATAACAGTCTGCAGTCTGAATTATTTGTATCAGCCACAATATAGACACTTACACTGTCAGCACCTCTGCTACCATACACCAGCAGCCCTGATTAATTATCATGAGAGGAGAGGAATTGTTCCCTCTCAAGACACTTGGACATTTTATTATAGGAAACCTCTTTAGCTCCCCCTGTAATCTGATATGTTTGTAATTCTGATGTGTTTGAGGGTGTGTGGATGTTTAAGGCAGTCTGAATTCATACATGAACTGATGTTCTGTCTTAACTTGTTGTCTTAGCAGTAAATCAGCTGAATGCATCTTTCCTGTTAACAGGATGGCCTTTTGGAAGCCTAGTGTGCAAAATGAGCGGCATGGTTCAAGGGATCTCTGTGTCAGCATCGGTCTTCACTCTGGTTGCAATTGCCGTTGACAGTACAGTGACTGTTTACTATTACTGCTACACATAATATAATTGCACATTTACTTTTACCAGCAACTTTTACACTTGAATGCCACCTCAAAAAAGACAGATAACAGATAAACCAGAAACCATTTAGAGAGCACAAACCTCCAAGGAGTGTGTAGCCTCTGTGGAGGCTCTGTCCTGTTAATTTATGTGATAAAATATCCAAAAAAAGATAGTTGAAAGTGGCCGAAAAATATAATAACAACATTTCAAAGATGACAGCGCATAGCTTACCGGTAACTTGCAGCTGCACTTTGAGACTGAGATAACAGAGGAACAAGAGAATTGTAAAATTATCCTGCTTCCGGGAAGTCACAGTGTCAACTGGTTTGTAGGCTATGCTACATGCGGATGTGGAGAATCGTGACATCCCTAGTGACAAGCTAAGGTTACTGTAAGGCAGCTACATTTTAAAGTCAGCAAAAAGCCTTACCTTTATCCACAATATAAGCATCTATGGTGTTAGATCTACTGTTTGGTGTATCTGTAACACGGTTTTTCTTCTCTTTGCTTTAGCAAAAATTCAGACGGCTGCCACTAAATGCGCGGAATAACCGATATTTGCTAACGGGGAGGAGGAGGCGTGTGTTAGCGAAACAGAGGTACAGAGTCACCGTGACAGGCCTGAGTGAGCAGGAGGAGTGGAGGTGAACCTGTATGGAGGGAGCAGGGAGGTTATGTTCATTTACACTGGGGATGCTGGGGACATTACCCACCACTTTTTGAAAGCAATTGTGAAATTGTTCAGAAAAATAGCTTGCACCAATAAATGCTAATCAACAATAAAAATGCTATAAAAAAGGTTTATTTGCACAATAGGCCCAAGCCTGCAATGCAATGTAAATATAGAAGAAACACTGCATTGTCCAAAAAAAGTAACTTAAGCGAAAAAAAATAAACAAGCTACTAATTATGCATTATATTCTATTATATTTTTATATCTGAATTGTCACCTGAATTTAGTGCTTCCATCTATATAAATAAAGATATTTCCACCATAAATTGGTGCAAAAATGTCTCCAGAATGCAGGAAATTAAGTGGTTAATTCTCAAAATCTTCTGGGAGGACCCCCAGATCCCCATGTCTAATATTTCATCAATCTAATATTTCATCAATAAATTTTTTTCTAAATAGTAGGCCTATTAAAATATAGTCTTGTCTTGTTCTCATGTACCCACTCGTGCAATGTCACGTCTCATGGACTAAGTGAAGTGTTTCGTCTGACCAGTGTCTGACCAATATTGGTGTGCCGCCTGGGCAAAAAATGCCAGGGCCAATTTTTCTCCCAGTCCAGCCATGCCCCAAAGGGAGTTACCATGACAGCTGACATTGAGCCTGGAAAGGTCGTCACCAGGGGGTTGACATATAGGGACAGATAACCATCTTCCACTGAACCTCGAGTGTAAAATGTTTTTGTACAGGTATGTGTTCCCAAGGTCATAAGTGAACCTCCCTGCTCAACTCTATTTTGTAATTCAAGTAACTGAAATCGTTCATGATTAAACACCAAAATGTCCTATGTCATAATGTTAATAACTCTTAAAAAAAAAAATCTGAAACAACATCAAGTTATGTGTTCTTTGACCCTTTACCTTATTTCCCAAAACTTATCAAGAAAGACACATTTCTTTCTTTTAAATTGCTCAGCTTTTTTATCTTTATCTGGTCCTCTTTTAAACTATCATGCTGACATGCATGCATGACAACAGTTGCACATCAATCCTCTTCAAAACTTTATCAACCTTCAGGGGATGCTGCAGAATCTCACAATGGGTTTGTTGTTGACACTAGAGCCCAGTAATGCACACATGCAGTGGAGTGGCCCCCCCAAGCTGTGAAAATGTCAGAGCTGATATTTTATCATAGCCAAGTCGTCAGACACCTGACGTGGAGTGACGTCACCATGTCACAATTTAAATCACTGGAGGCTCTCTGCGCCTCTGGAAAGAACAGACAGCACAGTTTGACGTCCGAAAGTCAAAGTCACCTTACACATCTATCAACAACATGATGAGAATTAGAATTGAATGAGTGAGGAATTAAATGGCTCTCTTGTCTGCCCTTTTAGCCAGTGTATTCATGCACAGATAACCCAGATAACTTTGTTCCCTGGCTCCTCCAGTCTGCATATCCCTGGGCAAGATACTAAACCCCAAATTTTTGAATGTTAGTTTTGTTTCTAATGAGCAGTTGGCACCTTGCATGGTAGCCTCTGCCATCAGTGTAATGGGTAAATGATTGCCAGCCAGTGAATGTGTGTGAACGGGGTGAATGTCCGAATCAGAATCAGAAGGAGCTTTATTGCCAAGTAGTGTTTTACACATACGAGGAATTTGCTTTGGTGATAAGGTAATACCGCAGCCTCTTGTCAGAGGGGAGAATCTGAAACAGTTTGTGTCCGGGGTGGGAGGGGTCAGCTACAATCTTTCCTGCTCGCCTCAGAGTCCTGGAGACGTACAGGTCCTGAAGTGATGGAAGCTTGCAGCCAATCACCTCCTCTGCAGAGCGAATGATACGCTGCAATGGCAACTGGGGAGTTACGCAGGATGATGGGGGAGGGTGGGGCTGGGCTCTTTCTGAAGTCCACAACCATCTCCACTGTCTTCACAGCGTTGAGCTCCAAACTGTTCTGGCTGCATCTGTTCACCAGATGGTCAATCTCCCACCTGTAGGCGGACTCATCCCCATTAAGCTAAAAAAAATAAACAAGCTACTAATTACCAGAGCCCAATGAGGGTGGTGTCATCCACAAACTTCAGGAGCTTGACAGACGGGGTGATTGGAGGTGCAGCTGATGGTATACAGGGAGAAGAGAAGTGAGTAAAGAATGCAGCCTTTAGGGGAACTAGTGCTGATGGTCCTGGAGTCAGAGACATGTTTTCCCATCTTCACGTGCTGCTTCCTGTCCGTCAGGAAGTGATGCTGTGTAAAGCGCTTTGAGTTGAATGCTTGAGCCCTCCATGAACGTCCTTGCCTCCAGTGGTACAATGTAACTAAGTACATTTATCGAGTACAGCTTTGAGGTACTTACGCTTTACTTGAGTAATTCTATTTTCTGCTAAGTAATAGCAGTAGCACTATTTAACTACATTTCATAGGGAAAGATTGTACTTTACACTCCACTATATTTATTGGACTACTTACTAGTTACTATACAGATGAGGTTTTTATTATTCCAAATAAAACTGACAAAAAATATACAAAATAGTTCAAAATCATCTTAACTAAGACCAGCTTCAACATTAAAGGTATATATATATATATATATATATATATATATATATATATATATAATAACATATAAAACTTTGACTAGGCCCTGAAAGTAATGACTAATTCAGGGATGCATGACTATCACTATCATGCAGGAAGCTCCAACAGCAAACCATGGAGGAGCCATATGCATGAATCTTTGTACAGAATGAACAAAAAATAGATGCATACACATTTTTCTCTGTTTCTGGATGAGGGCTGTTTCTGCAGATATGGTGAGGCATTTGTTTGTAAATCACTATATCACCATGAAATTACAGTGGAATTATGTGAATGTGACCATGCAAGCGTCAGCTCCATATTTACATACACATACAGGTGCATCTCAGAAAATTGTATATCGTGAAAAAGTTCATTTATTCCGCAATTTTATTTAAAAAGTTAAACATTCACATATTCTAGATTCATTTCACATCAAGTGAAATACTTCAGGCCTTGATCATTACGGTTAACAGGTCATGAAAAAATCCATATCATGTACAATAGAGAAATGTCGACCTTCTGAAAAGTTGAAAACTTCTTTAAAGGGTTAATTTATGCACTCAGCACTTGGTCGGGACTCCTTTTGCACAAATTACTGCATCAAAGCGGCATGGCAATGCTGAAGTGTTAAGCTGAAGCCCAGGTTGCTTTGACAGTGGCCTTCAGCTCATCTGTATTCTCTGCAAGAAAAGAAAATCAGCATCTCCAAAAGACATGAAGCATGAACAAAAGCATAAAGTGCTCTATCTCTTGGTAGATGCTGCATTGACTCTGGACTTTATGAAACACAGTGGACCAACACCAGCAGAGGACATGGCTCCCCAAATCATCTCTGACTCTTTTCAGGCCGACATTTAAATCTTTATTCTAATATTTTTAATATATGGATTTTTGAAGGCCTGAGAAAAGAACCCTGAGGATGGGCAGTAACAGTTTTGGAGGCTTCAGCCGTGGCATGTAAACAACAACAAAAACACTGAGCAAAAAAGGAAGATTGGCCAGAGACACACTGATCGAGTTAGTCATGTATGTTTTCAGCATTGCACGGGGATAGAAATAACGAAAGATGTGTTCTGACTTATAAAGGAAGGCCAACAAGCATATCAGCCACACCCACAGCAAAGTCACAGCTACTAGAAGAGATGTCACCTGACACTCTCTCACCTGATTGTGGCTGCCATCCTCAGACACTGTCCTCAGTCTGTTGGAGACTGCAGGGAGGGTCAGTATAACTAACGCTTCAGTGTAACTGAAGTCTACCACACAGAGGGAGAGCAGCAGTCGCACAGTATTTGTAATTCTCACAACAAATCAAAATTTTGTTCGTGTATTTGCTTCTTTTTATTTCATAAATGCTACCTCGCACATGTATTTTCTGCATGTATACCCTTTTACGTATATTCCGTATATTACATATATATTAAACGCTTTGCGTCGGGCCGAACAACGCCCTTTAACTGTGATATAATAAGCGTATACCATGCCTGTTGTGAACTATTGCTTAAATGAATCACAGTAACTACAGTATGTAATGTTCTGCAATTTAAAGCAAATGTTCTTTACTGTCACTCAATTCCTTTTTGGCAAGATATTTTTAAAAATAGATTAATTGTCTACAGGCATCTTCTTAATCCAGTCTCTTTCTAATCCTTTTGCAGATTCAGATGCATTGTCTACCCATTCAAGCAAAAGCTGACCATATCCACAGCTTCCTTGATCATAGTCATTATCTGGGTTCTGGCCATATCCATCATGTGTCCCTCTGGGGTGATGCTACAAGTGACCAAGGAGCAAACCATTCGGGTGTTACTGGGCTACGACAACAAAACAGGCCCATTTTATTGGTGCAGAGAGAACTGGCCAAACCAGGAGATGAGGAAGATTTACACCACTGTCCTGTTTGCAAATATCTATCTTGCTCCCCTTTCCCTCATCGTAATCATGTACGCCAGGATCGGCATTACGCTTTTCAAAACAACAGTTCCAACAGGAGCAAAGCCGGGCCATGACAACCGCCACACTGTGTCAAAGAAAAAGCAAAGGGTGATTAAAATGCTTCTAATAGTTGCTTTGCTTTTCATCCTTTCCTGGCTGCCTCTGTGGACCCTCATGATGCTGAGCGACTATGCCAGTCTGACTGAGCAGCAGTACAGAATCATCAACATTTACATTTACCCCTTTGCCCACTGGTTAGCCTTCTTCAACAGCAGTGTCAACCCCATCATCTACGGTTTTTTCAATGAAAATTTCCGTAGAGGGTTTCAAGCTGTGTTCAAGTTCAGCCTGTGCACGGCGGATGGACAGCGGAGGAAACCCTACTCACACAGGCTGCAGGGAAACTCTGTGCTCCCAGCTAATAATGCACAAACCACCCTTGAGCCTATTTCTCTCAATAGCCTAGATAAGAACACCTCTAAGCAACTCAACCACATTGCTGAACAAGACTTGGTCATGGAGGACCTGGAGAAGGCATCTTGCAGCAGTGGGGGTGTGACTGCAGTGTCTATTTAAGGAGCCACAAACAGACATTCTTGTAGGTGATAGGCAAAGGTGTTCATATTTCAAGAAAATTGCCCTCATCATTCAAATCCATGTCATCCACTGAGCCTAAGTAAACTCCAAGGCCCACCTCAGCAGGCTTTAGAAGATGACAATTTGTCTGAGGCAATTTCAATGCTGTCAAAATATAAAGCAGTGATTTATCTTTTTGACTGTCATACACCACTTCATAACAATTAATGTAGCAAGCTACGTCACAGTGCTACTGAAACAAATCCATTTAAATTACCAGTTTGAAAGAGAATATTCATTTTGGTTGTTCATCTTTACTTATCACCTTCAATGCACATAATGTATGTTGCACATATTGTGCCATGCTAAAAAATGGAACGGGCTGTGCTGTTGGAACTGTAGTTTTCAACAGGGAAAACAAATCTTGTTGGCCAGTGAATAATTAATCAATTAGGATCGGTGGATACTGTATTGATAACAGGCTACTGTCCTGCTCTATGAGATACTTTTTAAAACATATATGTATGTACTGTGATGTTTGCAGAGCAGATTTCAAATTAAAATCACTTAGACAAATATATATATCAGATGTAACAAACTTCTATGTTGTGTCTTGTCAGTATTGTTTGCAGCTAATTTCAAACCTTGAATTAAGTCATGCAATTTCTAACGCAGATTTTTTTTTTTTTAAAGTGCCGTACACATTTTTCACGAAGGTTTAAAACTCAAAAGTTCAAACATCAAATCGAAGAACTTTGAAGTAACACTCTTTCAGGTATCTTTGATCATGATCAGACATTAAATGGTTTTTACACCCACAACTGTATGGATGAGAAAACAAAACTCTACAGAGAGATGCTGAACTTAAGCAACCGATCAAGGCTTTTATCTAGCTAGATCATCTTCACAGTACCATGTCCTATGTATACAAAGAATAAGCCCACCTTCACTCAGTACTGAAATCCCATTAAAAAAAACATTGTTTGAAGATGATAAGAATGAACCCTGAATGAGGCTTGCCAAGTCAATTACTGGACAGCTTTTCATAGCTACTTATGTGGCGATACTGCATCAAACATGTACGCACTTGAATTGCTTAATTTTAGGAGTGACTTCACAAATGATCACAAACTTGCTTTATCCACTTTAACTTGTTTTAAATGTGAGGAAATGTACCAGTCTAGTAAAGACAGGTTGGCCAGCCACTATCCTTTCATTGCCTAGGTTTAATAGCTGCAGTCTTTAGGTTTTCTGTATGTATTATAGGATAAAGTGGTATATAGAAGGCAAATTTTAACACCATAACAAAGATTAACATTCAACAATTACAGCACATGAGACTTTGACAGCATATCAATGCCCAAAACTCATTATACTGATTCATGAGTTAATTAGCCATTAAAAGTATATTTTTATTTAATGACAAAGCAGACATGAATATTAAGCAGGACACCAGGCCTGTCTAACAACAAATAAAAAGAGCCAATTCTGCAGGTGCCACACATATTAGCACTGTTTAATGCGTTTTTATGGGACTTGAAAACCTTTTTCTACAGTGAGCCAGCTACTTACAAAATATATTTTTATCCAGGCTTTTAATCTGAAATCTGCTCTATAAACATGAGCATAAAAAAGATTATTTATTCATGAAACTCTCATGAGCCTGTTCTGAATGTGCCATGTAAATTTCAGATAACAAAGTTTTATAATAAGTGTTTTGTTATTATTTTATTTGTATCTCTCTAACAGTCTTGTGCAGTATTATACAGTTAACCTGTACAGGAAAAACAGAGGGCCTGCATTGGTCCCAAAACATGTTTCGTTTGCTGTAAGTACATGAGTCTAAAGCTTGTTAAAGCTAAAGTGATAATGTGAATCTGTCTGTGTGAACTGACTATTGCATACAGGGTATACTAAACAACCTTCGTTATATATATAGCTTTTCTCTAGCATTTGCGATGCAGTCAGATGCTGTATACAGTGGCTGCTTGTGTGAGGCGAGAATGATCACAAGCATCACCAACACAGAGCTTCAACAGCATATTTTAGTTGTTTGAGTCGCTGACAGCAGTTCTGCTCTAAGACCACTGCCACTGCTGCCATCAAAGGGAAGAAAATATGGCTCTGTCAGCCATTAATCTTGACATGTTGTCTACTAAGATTCACCATCATCCAGATCACTGAATATCCACAACTATAATGTCAAAAGCAAGTCGACTTTGATGGCGAAGACATTTTGCCACTTACCTAAGTGGCTGCTACCCGTGACTGGTGGGGCCTCTGGAATTTTAACCGGTGTGACACTTCGGTCTCACGTAAAGTCAAACATGTATAAGTTAATGAATGGTGAGTCTCAAGACAGTCTCTGCTTGTAAAATGTGTGAATTTCAAAATACCACAGAGTTTGGTGAAAAGGGGGTGGTAATGCTGCAGTGGAGACACATGCCTTTGATGTGAGCGAACCAGCTTCGAATCCACTGTGAGACACCAATGTGTCCGTGAGCAAGACACTTAACCCCTAGATGCTTCAGAGGTGTGCGACCTCTGTCATAAATAGCAATTGTAAGTCGCTTTGGATAAAAGCGTCAGCTAAATGAGTAATGAACTGCTATTTCTCTAAGGGACCTCCAAGATGGCTCGAAATGTGATTACTAAGATTTTTCTAACACCTGTTAATGATGAGCACAAAGAACAAGGGTGTGAGTACTGAATAGAGACTCATCCTGCGTGCAATGTTATTACATCCAGCAGTGAGACATAGAACTCTCTGGTGAAAAAGGTTCATGTTTCCATTTTGAGTAGGGCTGTGTGATGTGTTAACACATGTAGTAGGACCCTTTGTGACCCCGATTTGACCCCTTTTGAAGAGTCAGTCCACATCTCCTCATTCAATACTGCTACTGACTTGGGGTAAGTGCTGTTATCTGTTATACATTCTGACAATTTATCTTCATGTGATTTTCTGGATGACCGACCATCTGGGAACTTTGTTCATATATTCCGTTTATAATTGGATGCAGTCCCTAAAGGCTACCAAACGTACTGAGTGCATCTGTTATGTTATGAGTGTTATGTTATGCTACAACTCATGGTTGGGGTTTGATTTGATTGATTGAATGTAGTTTGGTTTATCTTTCTGAAATATGAAGTTAAGCTTAAGCCAAACTGCTTAATGCAGTCATTTAAAAAAAGAAGAAAATCTTCTGTTTTGTTTTCTGCAGTTCTTCTGCAGCCGTTATTTAAAGCAGCTATTTGCTTCAATGTATTCCTGCCAAAGACGTCAGGGGTATCTACAATAATTTAAAAGAACACTCATGATAGCATTTGAAGCATTGTTTGTGAGACATTCAGCATAAACAATATGTTATGACACTTCAGTATTGAATGTAATATTTGTACTTTTTGGTGCCTGTGGTGAAAAAAAACTTTTTCTGCTTTTTTCAAACAAGTATGGGTTAAATACTGTGAACTTCTTTTTTAGATTTAGAGATTCTTTTAGATTGGTACCTTTGTATAGTCTGCATGTGAATATCTTGTGTATTAGCATGTGTGTTTTTGTGTTTTAAATGTTTAAATTTTAAAGGTTTATTTGTTAGGGCACAAATGCCCATTGAAGTTTTTACAGGATGTGATATAGTAGGCTTTTATATAAAGTGTGGAAGTAATTGGTGTCGTATTTAATTGTGAAGGGCTATTCATGACATTATCTAGTACCTCTTTGATTGTTTGTACAGAATACAACTGCAAGGTTTAGAGTCAAGGTTCTGAGTATTAACAAAGGCTTGTCAATGCCACTGCTTTGTGGCATTAGTGGTATGATGACTTTTCTTTGCACAAATGAACTAGATACTAGATTTAGATTTAAAATAATGAAAACTGCTGTGCCTCTGGGAGAAAAAAAAAATACCATTATGAATTAAAATGTCATATAGCATATTTTGCCTCAAATGTCTAATAGACTTTAGATTTTGTGACAACATTTACTTAAATGGATTTCAAATATTGATTATGTTTAAGTTTACACATGGCAATCCAACTGCTTGTGACAACATATGCTGTACTTTAGTGGGCATTCAGATCGAAACAGCCCTGTGTCAAAACACAGCAGGGGGCGGCGTTGGCAGGGGCATGTTGGTAGGTACCAGTGAGACAATGAAATACAGTCCAGGAAGTCCAGTTGGAGTACCAGATTAATGCATTTAAAGGCTTGCCCAAACATTGGCACAATGGTTTGTATTACCCACAATAAGGAATGTTTTCACAGCGGCAACTATTTTATCTTTTGGCACCATGTTCACAAAGTAAACAGTAGAAATACTGTGTTGACATACAAAGTTATCAACAAGGAATATGTGCTTGCATGTATTTGACTGGCCAATGCAATGCCTTGTTGGCGGCCCTGCGTTGTTGTGCTGTAGCCTCCTGTGTTGGCAAACTGGCTCCATTCAAATGAATGAGAGGGCTTTTTTTTTTTACGCAGGTCTCAAGTCAGTCTGAACATGGCCTTGCAGTGATTTGTAATTAAAACTAAAACATGAGTGGCCATAATGTAAGTACTGCACTGTACGTTCATGTAACAGTTCAGAATAGATTATCGCTTTTATAATGTGGCCAATAACATTACAAAAAGCTGTTTTCAGGCTCTCATTCATTTTTGTGTTTGTAGTTGGTTTAATATAGTTTCATTAACGAGAGTAAAATAGTAATGTAGTGTGAGGAACCTTTGGTTGGGTATCTACAATTTAATACATCTTTCCCACTGATTTAGACCAGTGGCTAAACCATACACCAGTATCATAAATGCACAATTTAAATGGGCACAACTAGACAGAAGTATTTTCTATTGTCCTAGTAATAACACTTCAGGCGATGCCCCATGACATGTCAACTGGAATGTTAATGGAATAATTCAACAGCCAAACCAAAACAACATTTTAATAAGAAAAAGGTCAGTTCTCAGAGAATCACTTTGTTGTCAGTAATTCACTGGGGTTGTTTGGAAGCGAAATAGAATAAAATGTACCTGGTGACTCATCCTCTGCCAAATCCTCTTTGACAACCCAGTAGGTAGTAACTAAACTAAATTTGCACTCTCAAATAATTTGATAGCTTGGCAAAAGCAAAATCAACACCCTAATATTTCTTGTAAATTACAGTAGTTTTGCTAAGAAATTCGGATGAGACAAACATGTTTGCTCTTTTACTGTGATAAGGATTTTTCTTTCAAGATCTGTGAAACAGTGACTACTGCTCTATTATGTAATTCATACTGTTATATTTAACTTCAACAAATACAGGGTTATTCTTCAGTATGTTTTAATTATTTTGTCTATGAGAAAAGATGCAAATATGTCATCAACTCTAGGGGAATAAGGCTGCTTGTGAAATCGTTCACTTGTCACGGTCTTTGAATTCATGTTTGCACTGTATCCTGTTGAGCAGTGAAATTAGTACACGTTAAGTGCACTCAAACTATCTCATAGTATAGTGTGAACATTTGAGACCAAGGGATGGTTACGATCAAAGCACTAAGTGCCAGAATAGAAATAACTTTAACTAAGCCATGACCAGAAAAATGTCCAATATTATCTTATAAATGTACCAATCAACATGCGATACAGCCTGTACTGTGAGTAGGGAGTGGTAGGCAATTTTAGACACAATCTTTCTTTTCTTTGAGTTCTTTTCTGCTTTCTTCTCAATCTACCTAGCTGAAAAGCTTGATGCTTGCCTTGTGTCTTTCTGTGTACTATATACACTCAGTGACCAAAAAAACACCACTGTTTAGTACCACCTTGAACCACTTTTGGCCCTTACAAGAGCAAGAGACAATAAGGCTGCTATAGCATCTGGTATTAAAAATGTAGGATTCAGGACATGAAGCATGGCCAGGGCAGACATCAGGGTATTATGTTAGCAAACTCATTAACATTATTTTACATGAATGTTCCTTCCCTGGTTGTTCTTGGAGTAAAACATGATGCAATGTCTTTTCAAACGGAGGCATTATCTATTTTACCACGTGCGCTATTCAGCTGCTTAAGTAGAAATAATGGCTGGATGTCAAATATGCTTTGTGTTTATCCTCAGTGTTTTGTCCCACCAATGCAATTTTTTGGATTTCCTCTGCTCTTTTCTAATCACACGTAGAGCTAATCATTATAATAACCCCATGAATTTAAAACAATGAAGTTAAAGGTCACCGTGTGATGACGTGCGGGGAGAAAAATCGGGGGAATTGAAACTCTAGAAAACAGCGAGGAGGTGGGCAGAGAAATCAAAGAATTGGCAAAAATTGGGCGCATATTTCATCATTTATCATAATCAGATAATTACATAATAATTTACATAGTCTGTAAAGTAATTATAGATTATCATCATATATATTTTCTTGCCAGATTTGCTCATGAAACAAGGCGAAACTATCGCTTTAGATCGAGTGGCTGCTGGAGCCCACATTGAGCTTGTACAACTGCATAGATTAAAATGAGCGGTACCTGTTGCAAGACATGAAAAAAACGTGCTTGTGCTCTAGACATGGGGAGGCTGGGAATGATTGAAAAGTCTGTTGCAATATAGGGGTGTTTGTGGGCACCAATGTCTTCGGGTATTAAAGGACCCAGTGTACACCAGTTGAAAGCCCAATGTCTCCATCATTCATCCACAAAGTTCTGCCTCCCACTGTGCAGTCTTGACCATGACCATAACTTTTTCAGAGTAATAAAGGAAATGAACAGTCTTCTGCAGGGGCAGAGGTACCATTTCTCTGGTCACTGAGTGTATATTTCCTTTTTGATAAATGTAGAGTTTTGAATCAATAGAAAATAATTGTGGTTGTGTTTCTGCTTTCAAAAATTGCTAAGCCAGTTTCTGTCTTGCCTTTGTATCGAGAGATATTTCAATGTGCCCAAACTGTGAGAGGGGGCATTTGTGTTCTTGTGAACAGCAACATGTTCAAATGGTCATAAATAAAGATATTTGTCTTAACTCATTAACAATAAAGTACTAAAATCTCTTCCTGGCATTGCAATTGATTAAGTGTTAATAGAAAAGAACAATCCAAAGAAACTATGCAACACATTGCAGTTCTCTGTAATTAATGTGATTCATCTGCAATAAACATTTAGCAGCTGCTGAAATCTATAGATTAATCACTGATCACTGTTGAGCTCTATTAACTCATGTAAGCAGTGAGATTCAGTGGTCACAGTGCGTAGAGGCAGATTTAAAACCACAGTCACTATACTAAAAAGCAATGTCAGGGAATTTGCCTTAAATTTGGGCCCTCTTGTTTTGGCTAACAGTTTTGGTGAAGTAACTTCCAAAATGTAATACATTATGTTACTGTCATATGAGAGTAATTAGTTATATTACAATATTATTGTCTCTGAATTGTAATGGGGGAATACAAGATGAATCGTCTCCCTGTTTGCACCCTGCCTACAATCTTGATGATCAGATTCCAGTTAACGTTACTCTTTTACTCATGGATTTGTTATTCTGCTGCCGAAATGTTTCTCCGTGTTGGTGAATAATAATAAAAAACAAACAAACACTTCATTTCGGGTTAAAATGTGTTGTAACGTGCGTTACTGAGATTGTAACAGGTATAATATAATTATAATATTTATATTTAGTAACGCATTACATTACTGCGTTATAGCAAAAAGCAATACATTACAGTAATTGCGTTACTTTTGTAATGCGTTACTCCCAACACTGGTGGCTAATATAATATATTACTCTAATCTCTAAAAAAGTTGTTTGCACTTTCCTTTAAAGTGTTCTTTACTACTAGTGTTGAATATTTAGCAGATACAAATCTAAAGCTATGCAATTTTCATCTTAGATTTACATATGCAATATATTTTTGCATGTAGATATGAGCAAATGACAGCCTGTTCAACATACTGTGACAGCTGCTACATCCCATAACCTTAATAACCTTAACCTAATTCTGTCACTGAATTTCAATGAAACAAGTTCATTGTCATATAATCTGATGGCTAGATGGATCACATGAAGAAGGAGAAGATGAAGGGGTGTCTTCTTAAGAGAAAAGGCTTCACTGGAGAAGGGATTCAGCCAGAGTGAGGCAGCTGCTAAGCGGATCTTAGCGGACGCAAAATACAGCTGGGGCAAACAGAAAAAGATGTCATCTGAATTAAATGACCTCTTGAGGCATGTTCTGATTCATTTCCTTCTTGACAGTGTACTTTGTTTTTCATTCCAATGTTACTTTAGCAAAATAATTTCTCGAACCAACTTCCCCAGTAATTGGAAAACAGCAGCATGACTACTTGAAATGATAATTTTTCTATGACCCAAGTTCAACCATACATTACAGTGTATTAACACTTTAGATTCTATCAAAACTGAATTCTACTGGAAACTACAAATCAAATTATTCACCCTTCAGACCAGTGAATTTGACCGTGACCGTCAAGTTTCAGATTCTACTACATAGTAAACCACCAAAGTATATACCTACCAATTCACAGGACAACCTGCATCATCAGATATATTTAACCCAATCTGGGTTCTCAGATCAGAAATGAAACGCTATCATTCATTCCATGGAAAGAAATTGGAATTTTTAGAACACTTATTTAATCATGGCTCACTCATACCCTACAAAACACTAAACGAAAAGAAAAAAGCTCAAAAAGCTTCTTGCAATATTCACAAGTGAAACAATTAAAATGAGTTCATCAAACAACAGTCTGCAAACATTGCTTAATCGACTCAAATTCATAGCCACTCAGCCCTTTTCAAAAATGTACAAACTTCTAATTAAAATAGACTATAATCTCCGACCGGTTCAAGACTGGGAAAAAGATTTAGCTGGTACAATGGACATCAACTCGTGTATCCAGGAGTGTATCCTACAAACTGCAACATACTCAATAAAAAATATTTAACCCAGAGTTCACCTTACCCAATAGAAATGATACAAAATGTGACTCACCAATGACACCTGTACACACTGCACATTAAAACAATATTGTACTAATTCTATCTTAAAATAACAGCTTAAAAATTATTTTGACGGTACATTGACTTCTAATAGGGTGATTGGTGTCTCTGTATGTGCTATACAAATACGGACCATTTACCATATGTCACTGTAGCACTGAAATCCTGGGCAGGAAATCTATCATGACAACGGCGTAACATGATTCTTCAGCAAGCAAACTATAAAGCTGATGATACACGGGGTAACTTTTTGAGCAATGTTGCTGAGTAATATTTCTCAGGCACTTCGTCACATTGAATTAATTTATGTAACAATTATGGTAAATTAACCACAGTATCTTCTCAGTTTTATGCTTTACGTGATACTTAAGAAAAAGAACTGTTGTTGATTGGTTGTTGCCAACTGTCTGTTGCCCTGTGTCTCACCTGGTTGCCCATTGACGACAACATTGCCCAGCAACAGTGCTCTAAAAGTTGCCCCTTGTATGATCAGCTTAAGAAGACGCAAAAAGTAGGTAATGTATGCAAGTAATGTAATGTAAGTTCTTTGGAAGAAGCTAGCTCAGTATTCTCAGTATGGATGTCAGGGCAGAGGCTATATAAAAAGTATCTGAACAAGAGACCGAGTAGCAAGCTAGCCAACAAAGACAGACAGCAACCGACACAAGATTTATAGCTACCGACGAGTGACAGAGCAACATTATGTACGTTTTCTACCATCACAGCTGGAGGGGAGTGGACAACATGACAGGGTTCAGCAGCCTCTATGGACATAATGTTAGCTAATTGCAGAGATAAAGAGACTGAAGAGGACGTTAATAGAGAAAGCTAAGAAGAGCAAAAGGGAGAATTGGGAGCTTCGTGAAACTGAAGGCTCAAGACAGATGCTAAGTTGGATTTCTTTCTGTTGGACTAGTTGGTCACACTTGCTTGATTTTTGTTTGAGAGTTGTTGGCTTGCTAGTTTTTGATTATAAGTAATGTACTCATAAGAAATGCACGTGTAGAGCTGTCCTTATTTACGACAGCGGTAAATTTCACTCTGAAACAAAAATCTTACATCATTGCTTGAAACACCACAGATGACCACCCATTCAAACATTATTCATAAACTAAACTCAACCATAGGTCACAGCAATCCAGTCTCCCAATCTGTATGTCTGCTAGGAGATCTTTCATCAGTTCAATTGCCACTGAAATATGAACAACCCATACTCATCGCCTGAATAATGACAATACTCCTAAACTGGAAAGTGCATTGTATTTAGATTTATTTATTTATTTAATTTTATTCCTTTATTATTTTCAGTTATTCTCTACACACACACACGCTTGTCAATGTTGTGTCTCTTGTCTTGCAAAAAAACATTTAAGTTAAAAAAATTTAAAAATAAGCTGGAAAGACAGAAATAACCTTTCAATATCCCAGTGGCTCCTACTACTATCTGAATACATCTCTCCCCCTTCAACTGTTGAATAAACAGCCCTCTTCCAGGTACTCCCTAAATAGTGGATATGTATTTATTTAATTATTTTTAATGAAATACCAATGTATTATTCCTTTCTTAAGACATTACTTTTTAACTCCTCTCCCCCACACACAAGCATTTTTTCTACTCTTTTCTCTTCTCTTTCAGTTTTGCTATGTTGTTTATCCCTGTTTTAAACATTGTATCTTTAATATCACTACTGTAATAAATAAATATATCTTATTATTATATATATTTACAGTATATATACACTGTAAATATATAAATAAGTAATATACTATAATATATAAATAAATAGTCTCAGAAAAAGGTGAGGTTTGCTGCATTGCTAGTTTTATAATTTTAAATAAAATCCACATTAGGTAACATAATCCTGGAGACACATTTTTCTCTTTGGTTCTCTCTAAAACACAGTTTGCAATACAGATAGGCAGGATGTTGTATTGAGAGGTTTTATTGTCACCATAGGCTAGATTTAGTGTAATGCTATTAAAGTCATATTCATAAGCCTGAAAATATAACAAAGTTCAAGACTAGATTTAAAAACTTAATTAAGCAGATGAATAGGCCTAATGTGCGGAAGAATCTAACATCCTCGATCCTCGGTTCCTCCAGTCTGCATGAACTTGGGCAAGATACAGAACCCCAAATTGCTCCCAATGGCTGTTGCATCACTGTGTGCTTGTGTGAATGTGATGGAGTGTAAAAGTGCTCTGAGTGGTCGAAAGACTGGAAAGGCACTATATAAGTACAGACCATTTACCATTACACTTACATGATAAACTGCATAATCTTCTTAACTTAAAAAACAGTACAAAATGGAAAAAACCTTTTATTTCTTATGAATTTGGCTATCTGTAGTTACATTCATTTTCTGGTCAAATCAGACCTTCGAAACAGGCTGCAATAATCACACCTGGCGGCTTGCCTGAGGATCTTCATCAATCCACCATATTCACACAGGCCATTTTTTCTCTGACTCCATGCTAGGGGTTTGGATTTTACGATATTAGATCGTGAACGATTAAAATGTCTCCATGATCTGCCTTTTCAGAGATTGTTAGTATCTGCTACAATGCACAATCCATTAGTTTTACGGAGTTTGCAAATGAACAGAACGGGTTCCTTGATGTTAAAGTAACTAGTTGCTGTTATCGAGCTCAGTTAGCCTAGTGGTCAGGCGCACAAGGAAGACATTTTTGCTTAGGGATGCATGACATGACTGTGTGTGGGCATGCACACACTTTCCTTCAACAGAGTACTTACCGAGTGAATAAATACCATTGATAACACAATCAACTTAAATGAAGGCCATGCGGGCGCAACTGATTACACCGTCGCTTACACCCTCATTTCAACTTGAAAAACTGTTCTACGCTCAGTGTCCACACTTGGGGAAACACATGAAGCACATGAAAACGTTGTGTGTGTAATAACTGAGAGCACCGCTGTTTGCAGGCAGAGCTTTCGACGACATTTTTTAAATTTCGGGCTGGTCGTCTCCCCATTAAGAGAGACACTGTGCACAGGGGC